CCAACAAATGACGATGTCAACACAATCAATGAGTACATGCTGGAACATTTAGAAAGTAAGGAAACTAATACACGGCAGTTATTCTTTATTTTTCTCCAAATATAGAATTTATTAAAACCTTTACTTAACACATTGATTGTTTGTAATGGTAGGTGAAGAAAGGATTTATCTAAGTGCAGATAGTATAGATCCGACAGATTCAGATTCATTAACGAATCCTGTAATCACTCCAGATTTTTTGAACTCTATCAAACTGTCCGGGATGCCACACCACGCATTGCGATTGAAGATTGGAGCACCGGTGATGTTGCTAAGGAATATAGACCCTAAAGGTGGGCTATGCAACGGAACAAGGCTACAGATTACTCAGCTAGCTACTCATATAGTTCAAGCTAGAGTAATAACCGGCGAAAGAAGTGGTGAGATTGTTTTGATTCCAAACATAAACCTAACACCTTCAGATACAAAGCTGCCGTTTAAGATGCGTAGAAGACAGTTTCCCCTATCTCTTGCATTTGCTATGACCATCAACAAGAGTCAGGGACAATCTCTAGAACATGTAGGTCTCTACTTGCGTAAACCCGTTTTCTCTCATGGCCAGCTATATGTTGCGTTATCTCGGGTTACATCGAAGAAAGGATTGAAAATAATAATTCTAGACAAAGAGGGGAAAATTCAGAAACAAACAACAAACGTTGTTTTCAAGGAAGTTTTCCAAAATATAATCTGATTAACATCGAGTCAGATAATGTGGGAGCATCAAAGCACAAGGTAATATTAAGTTCTCTATAGTTTTATGTACACTACTTGCTTAATAGAGTAAAACAGACGCATATTAAACCCCACATTTGCTAAAAGTATTCTAACTATTTCCCAGGTTCGGCTATCACATTCATAGGATACATGTGGATGTAACTGATGAAGCATGAAGATCAATAGCAAATGAACAATTCAATGGTAACACTTCCAGCAATAAGTTTTAAGTTTTGTGGAGTGGGACAAACACGATTGTGTGAACTTTCTTTAAGTTTATGTTACTTTTCTTTTAAGGATGTTCTTATACATTGTTAATGACCTATTCAGAGATTGATTTCTATGTGATACTGTTCTTAAATCAGATTAAGATCTCACCAAAAAAACTATTTCAATTGAAAAGGAAAACAACTGAAACTTAGATGGATGTTTTATAGAATCTAACCTTCAATATGGGCCTGCAAACACTAACACCATCATCCATTGAACTGAGCATTTTGTTTTGCAGCAACTGCAATACAACATAGAACCAAACCAGTTAAACAATGATTCAAATAGCTCTTAAGCTACTTTCATAGAATCAACAACCTCATAATCATAGCGATAGAAACTATCCCCAGTACTGTATTTATGTAATCGAGATACATAAGTGAAATTAAAATCCATCAGATACTAAAGCTTACTCTATTGTAATATGAACGCATAAGAAATAAAACATTCAATAATCCATTTAAAGCAGATGCAACGGTGAACAAATCTTATAAAACTTGGAGCAACAAAAAGTCACAATATCTAGATATGGTAATTTTCAAGATCTATATAATCAATTTGTTGACAAACACTTGACTCATTCCGTAAACCTGACACACTAATTTGGATGAAGTAACCAATTACGTATGTTGTCGTCAAGAAAATAAAACCATCTCGGTTCAGGAAAAACGAGGACTAGAAAAAATAAGCCCGCAGACACATACAATTGCTCCAAATATTATATTTCAAATCTGATCTCAAAGATTACATATCCAAATTTAAGAGTAGTTGGAAAATGTTTTACCTCAATATATTTGCTTGATTGTGTGGATCGAAATCGTCGTACGAGAAATTATACCCAATCAGCTGCTTCAAACGGTAGATAAAACTTCAAGAATCTAGATTCAAATCGATCTTCAAACTGGCCAATAAAGGAACTA